AATTTTGAGGTTAAGTTTGCTAAATTTGAAGATTAAGTTGCTTGAGTTTTGAGGTTATGTTGACAAAATTTTGAGTTTAAGTTGACAAAATTTTGAGGTTAAGTTTCCTATATTTGAAGATTAAGTTGCTTGAGTTTTGAGGTTATGTTGACAAAATTTTGAGTTAAAGTTGACAAAATTTTGAGGTTAAGTTTGCTAAATTTGAAGATTAAGTTGCTTGAGTTTTGAGGTTATGTGGACGAAATTTTGAGTTTAAGTTGACAAAATTTTGAGGTTAAGTTTCCTATATTTGAAGATTAAGTTGCTTGAGTTTTGAGGTTATGTTGACAAAATTTTGAGTTTAAGTTGACAAAATTTTGAGGTTAAGTTTGCTAAATTTGAAGATTAAATTGCTTGAGTTTTGAGGTTATGTTGACAAAATTTTGAGTTAAAGTTGACAAAATTTTGAGGTTAAGTTACTTAAATTTAAACGAATGCGACCATAAAAGTGAACCAACTCACTCTCATTTTCAAATATTTATTTCGCAACACTTCTCATTCCACAAAAAATTATTTCTTTCATTTCCAAAAACAGACACAAAAAAAATCAGCATAGAAAATTATTACATTTCAGTCTGATTTCATAACATCGACAAAGTCAGTTCACTTCATACTTAATGAGCTCGATTTTCACTAAATCCACTTAATCATAGCTTTCTGTTCAATATGAGTACATAAAAATTACAAGTATCAAGTCAATTTAACAGTAAATGAAATTTCTTCATAGCTTCTATAGTTATGCGGCTGGGCTTGTTGTATGATTTTCAATGTTAAAGACATGAATGGAATATTTAAACCGTGAATGAGTTTGGAAGGTGAAGAGAGGGCCCTTGTGGGGGTTTCAGGGTTATTGTGAATTAAATAGTCTAGTTAAGCTCAAAAATTCAGGCAACCTAAATTCAAAGTTTGTCAAATTTACCTTAAAGTTTGTCAATTTAACCTCAAAAGTTGTCAACTTTATCTCAAAATTTGTCAACTTAGTCTCAAAATTTGTCAACTTAACCTAAAAGTTTGTCAACTTAACCTAAAAATTTGTCAACTTAACCTCAAAATTTGTCAACATAACCTCAAAATTTCAGACAACTTAACCTCAAAATTTGTCAACAAAACCTCAAAATTTGTCAACTTAACCTCAACATTTGTCAATACAACCTCAAAATTTTTCAACATTACCTCAAAATTTCAGGCAACTTAACCTCAAAATTAGTCAACTTAACCTCAAAATTTATCAATTTAACCTCGAATCTGCGATTTAACCTAACAATTTCTAGCTTAACTCCAAAACCCCTAATAAATTTCAGACAAAATCACCACACGAGCCTCAATAAACCATTCAAAGCACATTCATACTCACACATTTCTCGAAATGATGAATTGAATTTTAATTCAAAATCGATCAAATCGATCAGCATTTTTAGCGCATTTTTGAAAACTTGTTTTCGAAAAGGGAGCTCAATAATACACTTTGTTCGTTCGTTCGTTCGTTCGTTCGTTCGGGCAAGCATAAAAACTTTGCAACCAGACATCGTAGAGAGCTCGGATTTGTTTTATTAGCTCCGTTACTATTGTTTATTGTCCGATCGAACAGTTAAAAGTCTTCAAGCAGTGTATTTATGCTATAATTAATGAGTTTTTGTTTTGTTTTCAGTGTAACCTGCTCAAATTTTGTTTTACCTCTATAAATTCAAATTTACCTCTATAATTTCAAATTTTTTCTAGCCGTTGTAAAATTTCAAATTTTAAAAAACCGTTAAATGATAAACTTTTTCTATATGGAAATTCATTGCAGCAAATTATTAATTATAATCAAATACTGATCGCTTCGTCAAAAATGCGCTGAAGTCCCTCGATCAATAACACGAGGACTTTTGTAATTTTTTTTCTTCTTTTTATATTTTAAACATTTTTTTTCACTTTCACTTGAAGTTATAAGTTTTTTATAAGCATATGCTGTCAATCAGTTACAATTGGCTTTATTGGTCAATTATGGATGAGATCAATGGATAGTTTTTGGATGTACTTAAGGAACATTTAAGCAACATTTAAGTAGAGTGTGAGAATTTAAGTCGATGAATATTGAAATGAGGAATTTATGGAACTTGAATATTGAAAGTTTTGGTCATGTGGACTTGAATAGAATGTTAACAGAGCTACCGAGTGTGCGTACATCCCAAAATTTACATTTTAAAATGCATCTTTGACCTCAAAAGCAACAAGCAACTCAACAGAAGCCAAAAGAACCAATAAGAATTTAAAATTCTTCTTTGCCGTCTGTAAATATTGACAATTCAGAGTTAAATTTAAACAAGTTGAAAGCAATGGAAGCTTCAATGTTTGATGATGAAATGGTGGACGAACAATGAACTTTACTTACTAGCTGAGTAGCTAGATCAGTGGTGGACAACCTTTTTTGGACCATGACACACGTTGATGGTAAATCATGACTAAAACTTCAAATGGCAACCTTTTTTAATGGCTTACTAGGGTACCGTGGTACATGGGTTGGCCATCACTGCAACCATAGTCAATAAGAACTGGATTGATTGTAGCTTGATCAACATCATTGACATCCTTACTGACGATGCTGTAACAAAGCTACCAACTGGCAACCTTAAAATGCCATTCCTCAATAAGTCCTCAATTAAAACCGTTTTTTCAAAACTTTTGTTGACCAACAAGTAACAAACATGAACTCAAACCTTCACCAAATCATCTTCAAAAACAACTTCAAGAACCTCTTAAGCCTCACTTTTGTTTACTCTGTCAATCACAAACAACTTCACACAGAAGAATGTAAAGGCCCCAAAATAGCCAATAACTCAAAAGACAGTGGAAAGATCAACAAACAAGCATATTGATGCATATCGGAGCTCCTCACAATCTTAGTGCTTATTTGTGTATTAAAAATAAGAAATGAAAATAAAAACGTTCTTGAAATTTGATTCAATGCTAATAAAACATCTTCAAGAGAGTCTTGTGTAAGCATCAACATATGAAAGATAAATATTGAGATGATAAATATGATGAGAAGGTCGGAAGGCAGGGGTGAAGCAAGGGGTTATTGATGCTAATCTATGTAATGGTGTAAATAGACACTTCTAGGAATTTATTTGAGATTATTTGAGTTTTGTCAAAGGGGATAACAACATGATGGGGAAGAGTTATGGTTGAATAATCTCATAAACTTCTCTCGGATTTGCAATCAAAAAATTTGTCCGGAGAAATTTAAGAAATTGGGTATTTAAAAAAAACAGGCTAGCAGTAAATTTTCATGAAATCTTTTACTCATCATGCTGTTATCCCCCTTGAGATTCTTGGTTTTATGACTGACAAAAACTCTGGATACTACTCCTTTCATCAACTATCAACTGTGAGATCTTTCCAACGGGATGACGATGGGTTCCAATTAGGGTCAATAAGGTTCAATCATGTCCAATTATAAGGCTGTCGAAATTAGCACGTAAATCCTTAACTTTTTTGAACCTCTTTTTCTTGAAAATTGCTTCTGAAGTTGGTCAGTATTTCTTATTCAGCGTTGAAATCGGGACATGTCCTGCTTATAGACCAAAAACCATGACAACTGATGTACTGAGCAAGCATGTAACCAGGGGGGGGGGGGGGGGGAGAGTGGGTTTGGGTGACAAATCCCCCGACGTTAACAGAAATTTTTACATTTTGCTAGGAGTTTTATGAAAAAATCATAAAAATCCTTCCTTCCCTCTGAATTTTCCATATTGCCCCCTTCCCCGCTTTTCAAATTTTGGCTACTTTCCTGGTACTGAGCCTAAAGAATAAGTCCAATTCAGTTTAACCAGGTTAAACTAGTTCCAATCAGGCTTAGTTAAGTTTTCTTCTTTCAATCAATTTCACCGCTCCTGGCACACACACACATTAAACTGACTCCAATGGGATTATATTCCAAAAATTGAGTTATTGCCTTGAATATTTAATGTAAATAAACTCATCATGAAGCAATAAGACGCAGTAAGTCACTTTTCAGATAGTGAATGATGAAGTTAAATAAACAAATTCATGAGAAATGCGAAACGGAAAAAAGGGTCAAGTTGACTTCTTCGAGTTCATAATTTTGCTTTTGATACTTTTGCTACACAAACATTAAGATGTGAAAAAGGATCGAATGGAAGTAAAAAGTCAGCATGTGAGAAAATTGATTAAGTGACTAAGAAAATGTTTTTGAAAGAATTTTTGACTCTATTCGTGTGAATTTTCTGTCATGTTTTTTTTTCAGAATGCAAGGAACTGTTCATAACTAGGCTGTCCAACTGAGCACTTTTGATCCGGACAGTCCAGTGTGTTAAATATTTTACAACATGCTAGTTGTACTAAAAACATGTTTTAATAAATCTTTGGCTCCTTTTGCATATTACAGCACTAATCTCAATGGTTCAAATCGGTTAATTGATCTGAAATTCGGCAACAAATCGGTGTGATTTTGAAATGGTGCTCGATTTAAATTGAACCACAATTTACAAAACTTGAAGTCACAAGGGCAGGATAGCTTGCAGTGAAAGAAAAAGGAGGTCGTGAACAGGGTCATTTGCAACCCTCCCCCCCCCCCCCCCCCACACCGCATCCCTCATGAACCAATTATGAATATGAAAACGGATTATGACTGACATTTAATTGCACTTTTTGCATGCTTTTTCCTTATTAAACTATCAAGTTAATTACCTAAAATCAGTGATGTTCAACCTATATGCCACGGCACACTTGAATAAATCGGAGAAATCACATAAAGCATGTGCTGCGTACGGTTTTGCTCATCGAAAACTATGAAAAAGATCCGTGACTTAAAAAAGGTTGTCCATCACTGCTCTAAATCCCTCTGAATAATTGAATGATGAATGTATAAAATGCAATGTAATTGCATCGGTGTCGAGTAGCTTAGGACTGGATTGTTGACTAAACCATTAAGCACTGTTGAACAAGCTTTAAAAAAAATGTCAAACACAAGAAAAATCGTAAAAAACATTAAAAATTACAAAAACACAATCAAAAAAATATTCAAAATTCTAAGCTATTGCTTCTTACTTTCTGGCTTGTGGTACCAAACTCGCAGATTTTACACAAAATTAAAAATTACACCTGAAATTTTTACAAAAGAAAATTTTGTCAAAGGCAGAGAAATTCCATTTCCAGCAGTAACATTCTGCCCGAATTATTTACCAAAAGATCATCAGACGCCAGAATTTATGGAAAGTCACAATTTGACAAAAAGTCATTTAAAGCTAGTTGATGAGCTGTTGTGTGGAAGTCTTATGCCAGATGGAATCGATGATGAAGTTAAAGAAAAATTACTTTTTGAGAGTTTAAAATTATTTTCTCCAAAATTCGAAGACTCAATTAATTTAAGCAGATTCTCAACATTTTACTTGCATAAGCAGAACTTTTCAGTTTCGTACACAGAATTTGGAATTTGCTACACATTCAATTCACTTGGATACTCGTCAATTCTTAAAGATGACGTCATATCTGCTTGGCACGAAGGAGATCAATTTATGCCTTCTAATTGGACTCTTCAGGATGGCTACTTAAGTGATAAAGATTCAGTCTATCCATTAAGAACGTCTCCGTTTGTAATTTTAAAAGTTAATTTTTATGTTCGTTCGAACGAAAACTTTTGCAGTGAAAATAAAAATAAAACTTTTATAAAAATTCATCTCCCGAATGAACTGCCAACGCCATTCAGTCCAACATTTAGTAAAACTTTTAATGAAAATATCGAGTTCCACATATCAGCAGAAGTAAAGCTCATCGATGAGTCTTTGAAGGAATTGTCACCAAAACAACGCGGATGCTATTACGAAGGCGAAAAGCAACTGAAATTCTTCAAAACTTACTCAAAAGTTAATTGTGATTATGAATGCTTTACTAATTTTACGTACGATGATTATGGATGCGTTCCTTTCATGTTTCCACGGACGAAGGATATGGAACTATGTTCAAGTGACATTCTCAGCTATAATGTACGGATTATGGTGAAGAACTGGCCAAAAAAGTATTATACGGAACAAAAGAATCCACATTTACTGCCTGTTTATCCGTGTGACTGTATGGAACCGTGTAGACGAATCAATTACAAAATTGTTAAGGAATCTCTTTTGGGTTTACCATAGTAAGTTGCTTATTAGAACTTAATGGAACTGATTAAAAAATATTGAATTGGTTTCAACGACGTAACCTCTAGCTGGGATTTTTTGCGAACTTTCTCTAGGAACCAAGGTTTTTTAGTTCCAGACAAGAATTTTGTATTCCTGGATCTTGATTTTTGGTTCCAGAAATGACTCATGTCTTCCTGGATCTTAAATTTGGTTCCAGAAATGACTTATATCTTCTTGGATCTTAATTTTTGGTTCCAGACATGACTTATGACTTCTTGGATCTTAATTTTTGGTTCCAGACATGACTTATGTCTTCTTGGATCTTGATTTTTGGTTCCAGGCAACACTTATGTCTTCCTGGATCTTGATTTTCGGTTCCAGAAATGACTCATGTCTTCCTGGATCTTGATTTTTGGTTCCAGTCATGACTTATGTCTTTCTGGATCTTGGTTTTTGGTTCCAGAAATGACTCATATCTTCCTGGATCTTGATTTTTGGTTCCAAAAATGACTCATGTCTTCCTGGATTTTGATTTTTGGTTCCACAAATGACTCATGTCTTCCTGGATCTTGATTTTTGGTTCCAGTCATGATTTATGTCTTTCTGGATCTTGGATTTTGGTTCCAGAAATGACTCATATCTTCCTGGATCTTGATTTTTGGTCCCAGGCATGACTTATGTCTTTCTGGATCTTGGTTTTTGGTTCCAGAAATGACTCATGACTTCCTGGATCTTGGTTTTTGATTCCAGAAATGAGTTATGTCTTCCTGGATCTTGATTTTTGGTTCCAGGCAACACTTATGTCTTCCTGGATCTTGATTTTAGGTTCCAGAAATGACTCATGTCTTCCTGGATCTTGATTTTTGGTTCCAGAAATGACTCATATCTTGCTAGACCTATGTTTTTATTAGACATAACTTCTTTTTGACTTTACAGATCAAAATTATTTCAATTTCTTTTCTCCACAGTTTAAGTTCTTACGGATTAGAATTTGTTGACGCTCAAGTCTCATTGACAACGACTTACATCACATATAAGCTAGAAAACTTTATATTTGATCTTTTTGGATTGTTTGGATTATTTTTGGGCTCATCAATTGCATCGCTGTTTATGATTCCAATTAAAATTTATAATTTTGTATCAGAAAAATTGCATCAAAAGCGACCAAAAAATCTACAACCAGAACTAGAGCTTGAACTTGATCAAGGAACAACAACTGATATTCCTGAAAAAGAAGAAGTTGATCGAGAACAGTCAGCAATGTCTGAAATATCACGAAATATTTACATTTTATCGCATGGACATGCAACTTTTGTTCCAGTAGCTACTAAACTTTAAAATGTTTTTATAAGCACCTCAAATCCCGTTCCTTTTAAATCCAATACCTCAAAAAATATTATTTTTAAAAAAATCCCAAATAAAAACAGAAATTCAATAAAAAAAAGCAAACAACTCAATTTTCTTTGTTCTTAAGTGCGTTGTTATTGATAAATAAACAGGCACAGCACAGGCACTTTAGCAAACATTTTCTTCCTCTCCATTTCATCCACTTCTTCTTCATGCTCTTAAGAGCTTCAATGGACATGTATTGTGCATGTTATGTTGATAAGACAGAATGGAGAATAAAGTAAGATGGAATCTTGGATTTGATAATTTTAGTAAGTAAGTTTTAAGGCATAATAATTGGATATGATTTTTGCTGGAATTTACTTCCGTTTGTTGTCGAATTGTTGAAGATAATTGTGGAATTTTTTGGGGACTTTTGTTGACATCCTGTCCTTGATGGTCTATGGAGTGTCACAAAACCTGAATATCCCAAAAACCAAGTCTCCGCTGGTTCAATGCTATACTTTTAGGTCATTCTAGGTTAAATCTGGAGTCCCTCAAAGTATAACTCAAGATAAACCTTAAAATCGATCCCTAAATTCTTTGTCTGCCACCAATTCCATTCCAATATCCTCCCAAATATGTGTCAATTCCATCCAAAATTTTTGGCAACAAAAGAAGTAATCATCTTTGCTGTAATACCCGAAAGTCACACAAAGACACATGAGAAAGTAAAATAAATCGATTATGAGCCTTAAAAAGGAATCAATTTGATGGACAGACGTGGAAAGAGACATAAGAAAATTTTTTGTATCTAAAAAGGATCTAAAAGGAAAAAAAATATACAAATAGACATAAAAGACGTTCATGGGTGCATGAACCCAAAGTACCATAAAAAATGAGATAAAAGAAGAAATTTTTGAAAGGATTTTTTTTTTCTTGTCTTTTTTGTTGAATCGTTTTCTTCCTTTTTTGGGATGATGTTGTGGATTTTTGAGATATTTGAGGGAGCCAGTCAGTTTGGCAAGGTTTAGTTGTGGTTTTATACTATTAACTCATTTTGAAGCATCGACTCTAGCATTAACTCATTTAAAGTCGTCGCTTTGAAGCATTGACTCATTTTTAAATCGTCACTTTGAAGCAATGATTCACTTTTACGTCATTGCTTTGAAGCATTAACTCACTTTAAGTCGTTGCTTTCAAGAATTTACTCAACTTTTAAATCGTTGCTTTAAAGCATCGACTTACTTTTAAGTTGTCGCTTGGAAGTATTGACTTAATTTTAAATTGTCGCTTGGAAGCATTGATTTACTTTTAAGTCATCGCTTTGAAGCATTGTTCACTTTTAAGTTCTTTCTTCGAAGCATTGACTCACTTTTAAGTCTTTTCTTTGAAGCTTGGACTCACTTTTAAGTCGTCGCTTTTAAGCTTTGACTCATTTTTAAATCGTCGTTTTGGAGCAAGGATTCACTTTTACGTCGTTGCTTTGAAGCATTAACTCACTGTAAGTCGCTGATTTGAAGCATTAACTCACTGTAAGTCGCTGCTTTAAAACATTGACTTACTTTTAAGTCATTGCTTTAAAGTATTGACTGACTTCTAACTTGTCGCTTGGAAGCATTGATTTAATTTTTAATCGTCGCATTGAAGTTTTGACTCACTTTTAAGTCGTCGCTTTGAACATTGACTCAATTTTAAGCAATCGCTTTGAAGCGTTGTTCACTTTTAACTCCTTGCTTTAAAGCATTGTCGCACCATTAAGTCGTCGCTTTATATCATTGACTGAAAATGCGCTCTATTCCTCATCAAATCCAAAACTTTCCAAACTTGTTTTCTCAAGCACACCTTCGCTTCCTTTTTTCTGTGTCTCTACGATTTTCATTCACAGATATTTTACAATATTTTCATCTACCTGCACAAATTGAAGCTCATAATGCATTCTTTTTATGATTCTATTTTGTGTGACGTGAAAAGGGAATTTTAAATGTTTTGAAAAATGTGTAAATGCATTTTTACGTGCTTCACATTTTTTCTACCAATTTTTATGTTATTCAATAATAATAAAATGTTTTAGAATCGTATGAATGGTGAATTTTGTAATGTGCATGGAGGATATAATGGAATAAGAATGAGAGGATGCACTTAATTCCATTCACAAGACTATGAAAATTGAAATTTATTCAAGTGAAGTAAATTTTTGTGTCTGCCGTGAATGATTCAGTAGGAATAATTGATAATACGGGTTATATGGGTGCATGGCATGGTGATTAGAACTATTTTTGAAGGAATTTATAATTCATTTAATTTTTAATTTTATTGTTGTTGTGGTTAAGAATTGATGTGAATTACTCTAAGCCATGGGAAAATACTGAAGGATTTTTATGAAGCTAGTTTTAAAGCTAGCTTAAAATAATTTCTTGATATCAGATTGAGAAAGCATACATTCAGTATCAGAAAAGACAAAATAAGTTTTAGGCAAGAATAAGTTCTGTTTCAGAAGGGATAGGTTCTGTTTCAGCAGAGATGAGTTCTGTTTCAAAAGGAAAAAGTTCTGTCTAAGAAGGGATAAGCTAAGTTTCGGAAGAAATAAGTTCTGTCTCAGAACGGATAAGTTCTGTCAAAGAAGGGATAAGTTCAAATTCAGAATGGATAAATTCAGTTTTAAGAAGGGATATGTTCTATTTAAGAAAGGATAAGTTCTGTTTCAGAAGGGATAGGTTTGGTTTCAGAAGGGATAGGTTCGGTTTCAGAAGGGATAAAAACTGTTTTAGAATGGATAAGTTCTGTTTCAGAACGGATAAGTTCTGTCTCAGAAGGGATAAGTTAAGTTTCGGAAGAAATAAGTTCTGTTTCAAAAAGGATAAGTTCTGTTTAAGAAAGGATAAGTTCTGTTTCAGAAAGCATAAGTTCTGTTTCAGAAGGGATAAGTTTTGTCTCATAAGGGATAAGTTCTGTTTCATAAAGGATAAGTTCTGTTTAAGAAAGAATAAGTTCTGTTTCAGAAGGGATAAGTTTTGTTTCAGAAGCGATAAGTTCAAATTCAGAATGGATAAGTTCAGTTTCAAAATGAAATCAACACCAAATCACCAAATTCCATCCGAAGGACACTAAAATAATTTTTAAACCCAAATTTTCATCGCTTGAATAATTTCCAATCATGCGGAAGAATTTAATCCATTGATACCGAAAAAGTATATATTTTACGATCTTGACATTTTTCAGCTTCTGTTTCGACTTCTTACCATTCACTGAGCTCAATTGATCTCACTTTTCATGCTGCAAAATATTATTTCAGTGCGAATAAAATATTTCTTTAGCCACGCACAGCTTGAAATGAGCGAGAAAATTAATAACTTTTCGATTCACAGTTTGCGGTGCAGAAATTCTGCAATAAATCGTTTTAATTCACCTTGGTATTAGATAGTTTATTATATAGTAATGAAAAAGTGTTCAGCTAATGAAGTAACAATGACTGCAAAATATTGAAAATGCGGTCGTAAATGAACCCGTTGAGGTGTTAATGAAGATATTGTCGATGAATGAAGTGCAAGAGTCAATGAGGTCAATAAGTTTTAATGAATTAATAATATTGAATATGAGCTTACCAAATTAAATGCGATTTATTGAAAAAATGTATAAAAAAATTTAAAATTTGAAATTTTTAACGGTTTTTTTAAAATTCAAATTTTTCATGTTTTTAAAAAATTCAAATTTTTAACGGTTTTTAAAAATTCAAATTTTTATCGTTTTTTATAAAGTTCAAATTTTTAAAAAAATTTGAAAATTCAAAATTTCTTACGGGTTTTTGAAAAATCGAATTTTTACAATGTTTTTAAAAAAATTCAACATTTTTTAATTTCAAAATTCAATTAAATTGATCAATGTCGAATCCTCACAAAAAATCCAATTGAGATGCTTCAATGCATGCCAATCAATAATAAATTTTAATAATTTCAATTAAAAAAAACTTATTCAAATTTTAACCATTTTTGCGTCTTCCTCATTTCAATTCAGTTCATTCAAAATTCAATTAAAAAGTTTCAGATTTCAATTCATCGACTTTGAGCTTCAATTCTTGAATGATGAAGTTAAAAAAGTTTTGCAATTGAGAATGAAAAATTGAAAAAAAAAATATTCAAATGAATCGAATTGATTGTAGTTTTTGTGGTCCATTTGATTCCACTTATGTGAAACTTAAACTTTATTTTTTTATTCAATATTTTATTTATGCACAGCAACATTGAATGTCATTCTGACTTACAGAAAAGATTACAAAATATCCAGTCACGCAATAGCCAAAACAGTCACCAGATTGATTCAGAATCTTTCCTTGAGGATTAAATCGACATGGATCGGTGATATTTGTATTAAAATTTGGAGCTGGTGTTGTCGTGGTCCTTCTTGTGGTCCTGGTGGTTGTGCGAGTCGTTGATTGTGATGTCGAACTTCTTGTCGTAGATATTGTCGTTGGATTTGTTGTTATTCTTAATGTGGTACTTGTTGATGAACTAAGCTGTGTTGTCGTGGTTGGAACCGTTGCTGTGGTTTGAAGAGTCGAGTTTCTGTCACTAGTTCCAGTCGAAATTAATGAACTAGATGGAACCGCAGCTGTAGTTTGCGAAGATGAGGTTATGTCACTAGTTTCAGTCGTAAATAGTGAACTAGATGGAATCGCAGCTGTAGTTTGTGAAGTTGAGGTTATGTCACTTGTTCCAGTCGTAAAAAATGAACTAAATGGAACCACAGCTGTAGTTTGTGAAGTTGAGGTTATGTCACTAGTTCCAGTCGTAGATAATGAACTAGATGGAACCGCAACTGTAGTTTGTGAAGTTGAGGTTATGTCACTAGTTCCAGTCGTAGATAATGAACTAGATGGAATCGCAGCTGTGGTTTTTGAAGTCGAAGATGTGCTACTAGAAATCATTGAAGCTATAGTAGTTGTCAAAATTATTGAAGTTTCCTGGCTCGTTGCAAAGTTTGTAGTTACTGAAATTATTGAAATTTCTATTAAAATTCAAGACTTGAAAAAAATTAAAATTTGATACATTTAATTATTGATTCTGTCGCTAAACGTGACTATTATTTTATTGCAACTTATTCAGTCAATTTTAAAAAACCAAACAAATAACAATTTAGTTGTGTTATTAATTGAATATTTATATTATTTTAATTTTGTCAACTGCACGAATTTTGATAAAAAATTTGCTGATTCTCACGAGTTTTGTAAACTTTTTTTATTCATTTCCATTATCGTCGTTACCTTGTCCATTACTATTGTTGTCATTTTCTGAACTGGACCAAATTCCAGAGTTTCCATTGCCATTTCCACTACTCCCAATATTTCCGTTGCCATTTCCATTGTTTCCTTGTCCATTATTACTGTTTCCATTACCGCCATTTCCATTATTGCCATTTCCATTGTTTCCGTTATTTCCGTTATTTCCATTGTTTCCGTTGTTGCCGTTATTTCCGTTATTGCCATTTCCGTTATTTCCATTATTTCCGTTATTTCCGTTATTACCATTTCCATTATTTCCAGAGTTATCAACCGTCGTCGATCTGATTGTTGTAATTAGAGATATAGCAGTAGGAGTAGTCGAAACCGTTGAACCTCCTACACTAGGTGTTGTTAAGTCTGCAGATCCAGATATGGTAGGAGAAGTCGAAACCGTTGAACCTCCCGCACTAGGTGTTGTTAAGTCTGCAGATCCAGATATGGTAGGAATAGTCGAAACCGTTGAACCTCCCGCACTAGGTGTTGTTAAGTCTGCAGATCCAGATATGGTAGGAGTAGTCGAAACCGTTGAACCTCCTTCACTAGGTGTTGTCAAGTCTGCAGATCCAGATATGGTAGGAGAAGTCGAAACCGTTGAACCTCCTGCACTAGGTGTTGTTAAGTCTGCAGATCCAGATATGGTAGGAATATTCGAAACCGTTGAACCTCCCGCACTAGGTGTTGTTAAGTCTGCAGATCCAGATATGGTAGGAGTAGTCGAAACCGTTGAACCTCCGACACTAGGTGTTGTTAAGTCTGCAGATCCAGATATGGTAGGAGTAGTCGAAACCGATGAACCTCCTTCACTAGGTGTTGTCAAGTCTGCAGATCCAGATATGGTAGGAGAAGTCGAAACCGTTGAACCTCCTGCACTAGGTGTTGTCAAGTCTGCAGATCCAGATATGGTAGGAATAGTCGAAACCGTTGAACCTCCGACACTAGGTGTTGTTAAGTCTGCAGATCCAGATATGGTAGGAGAAGTCGAAACCGTTGAACCTCCTGCACTAGGTGTTGTCAAGTCTGCAGATCCAGATATGGTAGGAGTAGTCGAAACCGTTGAACCTCCTTCACTAGGTGTTGTCAAGTCTGCAGATCCAGATATGGTAGGAGAAGTCGAAACCGTTGAACCTCCTGCACTAGGTGTTGTCAAGTCTGCAGATCCAGATATGGTAGGAATAGTCGAAACCGTTGAACCTCCCGCACTAGGTGTTGTTAAGTCTGCAGATCCAGATATGGTAGGAGTAGTCGAAACCGTTGAACCTCCTTCACTAGGTGTTGTCAAGTCTGCAGATCCAAATATGGTAGGAGTAGTCGAAACCGTTGAACTTCCGACACTAGGTGTTGTTAAGTCTGCAGATCCAGATATGGTAGGAGTAGTCGAAACCGTTGAACCTCCGACACTAGGTGTTGTTAAGTCTGCAGATCCAGATATGGTAGGAGTAGTCGAAACCGTTGAACTTCCGACACTAGGTGTTGTTAAGTCTGCAGATCCAGATATGGTAGGAGTAGTCGAAACCATTGAACTTCCGGCACTAGGTGTTGTTAAGTCTGCAGATCCAGATATGGTAGGAGTAGTCGAAACCGTTGAACCTCCTTCACTGGGTGTTGTTAAGTCTGCAGATCCAGATATGGTAGGAGTAGTCGAAACCGTTGAACTTCCGACACTAGGTGTTGTTAAGTCTGCAGATCCAGATATGGTAGGAGTAGTCGAAACCGTTGAACCTCCTTCACTAGGTGTTGTCAAGTCTGCAGATCCAAATATGGTAGGAGTAGTCGAAACCGTTGAACTTCCGACACTAGGTGTTGTTAAGTCTGCAGATCCAGATATGGTAGGAGTAGTCGAAACCGTTGAACTTCCAGCACTAGGTGTTGTTAAGTCTGCAGATCCAGATATGGTAGGAGTAGTCGAAACCGTTGAACCTCCTTCACTAGGTGTTGTCAAGTCTGCAGATCCAAATATGGTAGGAGTAGTCGAAACCGTTGAACCTCCTTCACTAGGTGTTGTCAAGTCTGCAGATCCAAATATGGTAGGAGTAGTCGAAACCGTTGAACTTCCGACACTAGGTGTTGTTAAGTCTGCAGATCCAGATATGGTAGGAGTAGTCGAAACCGTTGAACTTCCAGCACTAGGTGTTGTTAAGTCTGCAGATCCAGATATGGTAGGAGTAGTCGAAACCGTTGAACTTCCGACACTAGGTGTTGTTAAGTCTGCAGATCCAGATATGGTAGGAGTAGTCGAAACCATTGAACTTCCGGCACTAGGTGTTGTTAAGTCTGCAGATCCAGATATGGTAGGAGTAGTCGAAACCGTTGAACCTCCTTCACTGGGTGTTGTTAAGTCTGCAGATCCAGATATGGTAGGAGTAGTCGAAACCGTTGAACTTCCGACACTAGGTGTTGTTAAGTCTGCAGATCCAGATATGGTAGGAGTAGTCGAAACCGTTGAACCTCCGACACTAGGTGTTGTTAAGTCTGCAGATCCAGATATGGTAGGAGTAGTCGAAACCGTTGAACCTCCTTCACTAGGTGTTGTCAAGTCTGCAGATCCAGATATGGTAGGAGAAGTCGAAACCGTTGAACCTCCTGCACTAGGTGTTGTCAAGTCTGCAGATCCAGATATGGTAGGAGTAGTCGAAACCGTTGAACCTCCGACACTAGGTGTTGTTAAGTCTGCAGATCCAGATATGGTAGGAGTAGTCGAAACCGTTGAACTTCCGACACTAGGTGTTGTTAAGTCTGCAGATCCAAATATGGTAGGAGTAGTCGAAACCGTTGAACTTCCGACACTAGGTGTTGTTAAGTCTGCAGATCCAGATATGGTAGGAGTAGTCGAAACCGTTGAACTTCCGACACTAGGTGTTGTTAAGTCTGCAGATCCAGATATGGTAGGAGTAGTCGAAACCGTTGAACTTCCGACACTAGGTGTTGTTAAGTCTGCAGATCCAAATATGGTAGGAGTAGTCGAAACCGTTGAACTTCCGACACTAGGTGTTGTTAAGTCTGCAGATCCAGATATGGTAGGAGTAGTCGAAACCGTTGAACCTCCGACACTAGGTGTTGTTAAGTCTGCAGATCCAGATATGGTAGGAGAAGTCGAAACCGTTGAACTTCCGACACTAGGTGTTGTTAAGTCTGCAGATCCAGATATGGTAGGAGTAGTCGAAACCGTTGAACCTCCAGCACTAGGTGTTGTTAAGTCTGCAGATCCAGATATGGTAGGAATAGTCGAAACCGTTGAACCTCCAGCACTAGGTGTTGTTAAGTCTGCAGATCCAGATATGGTAGGAGTAGTCAAAACCGTTGAACCTCCGGCACTAGGTGTTGTTAAGTCTGCAGATCCAGATATGGTAGGAGTAGTCGAAACCGTTGAACCTCCTTCACTGGGTGTTGTTAAGTCTGCAGATCCAGATATGGTAGGAGTAGTCGAAACCGTTGAACTTCCGACACTAGGTGTTGTTAAGTCTGCAGATCCAGATATGGTAGGAGTAGTCGAAACCGTTGAACCTCCGACACTAGGTGTTGTTAAGTCTGCAGATCCAGATATGGTAAGAGTAGTCGAAACCGTTGAACCTCCAGCACTAGGTGTTGTTAAGTCTGCAGATCCAGATGTTGTAGATATAGTTGAAATCGTTAATTCTTCTATACTTGGTGTGGTGGAAACCGTTAATCCAGATGTAGTCGGAGAAGTCGAAAGTGTAGTTCCTGATGTGGTTAGTGTTGTTTTGGTTTTTTTGGTTTTCTTTGTCGGAGTTGTCATTACAGTTGTTGTTGGAGTTGTCATTGGAGTCGTTGTGGATCTTTTTTTCTTTGTTTTTGGTTTTGGAAAGAATATATTGAATAAATCAATAACATCCTGATTATCAAATGATAAAGGAACCAAATCGAATGCAGGTTTGGCGTTTATTGCTAGTGAGTAAAGATTTTTATTACTTTATTATTAACTAAGCACTTTTGAAAAAAGTAGTAAAGTCAACTCACAAGTAGCACAGAAAAGAAACAAACACCAAAAAATTTCAATTTTCATTTTTAAATAATTATTTTGTACTTTAAGCACTTTTCACTGGTAACTAGGGACTTGAACTTTTAATGAAGCTCTATAATCAAATTTTCAGTTTTTATAGCAAATATTTATCAATTAGTAAATTTTATAGTCCACGATTTTTAGAAAAATAAACACGAGAAGTCTTTAATTCAATTTCGAGTATGACTTTATAATTAAATTTGTTTGATAGTAGTTGACTTCTGAATTATAAGCAGATGGGAACTTACATTAATTTAATAACCTTATTTGAACTAATTTAACGATTAAATATTTATTATATAACTGAGGGAACTATTAGACTGATATTTATATTTTTCAGGATTCACGACTTTTTTGATAAAATTGAAAAAATGCAGACAAATTAATTTAAATGCTAAACACAGCCATAATTACGCTCAACCTCATGCATGCCCACTCTTAATAACGATAAGCCCTAAGAACGCTCGGCTGTAGAAAGCTCAGCTTTAAAACCGCTCATCCATTAAAAACGATCAGCTTTAAGAACGCTCAGCCTTAAAAACGATCAGCCTTAAGAACGCTCAGCCTTAAAAACGCCCAGCTCTAAAAAAGCTCAGCCCTAAGAACGATCAGTCTTAAAAACGCTTAGCTGTTAAACGCTCAGCCTAAAAAACGCTCAGCATAAATAACGCTCAGCCTGAAAAAACGCTCAACCCAAAAAAAGCTCAACCCTAAAAACACTCAGCTCTAAAACCAATCAGCCTCACGAACGCTCAGCTGTTGAATGCTTAGCCTTAACAACGCTAAGCTTTAAGAACGCTCAGCCTAGTGTAAACCTTATAAACTTCTAGCTTCATCAAAAAACAGATTTTTAGACCATCTATCATCAAACTTGTTCAAAGTCTTAACTCATCTTCTTCATAACATTACTTCATGAAGCATAAATGCAGTTCAACCAGTTGCCTAAATAATGACTAGTCACATTGTAGTATAAACATATAAAAATTATTCTAATGGCACAAGCAACAGCAGCAGCAGTTAAATGATATGTGAAAGACAATCAAACTCCCTTCACTCCTGGTTTAAATACACATAAAGCAAAGAATAATCTGAGATTTTGATGTAAAGTCACGTACGTGTAATAAATTCCATCTCTTCCATCGACCGGGCACTTTTTCCTGTCCTGTACGTCTGTGTATGTTCCCTTTTAATTCTTGTGTGAGCTGATAAGTTGAAGTTGGTGTAAGGATAAGATTGCATTTTGGAGGTTTTGAAGAAAACGCTTGACTAAGGAACCGTTGCTGGAATGACGCTCAGCTGAAATGACGCTCAGCTGGAGAGATGTTAAGCTGAAGGAACGCTCAGCTGCAAGATAATCAGAGAACGTTTTCCAAAATGCGCTCTATGCATCCTGCATAACTTGCAATTCTCACTCATTCCAATTTCAATGTTTTTAAAATGCTTAATGCGTTATCAGTCGGAAAGCAGCACACAGAAAGAGAGTCGAAAAGAAGTTAAAAATGTTTTGTTGACTTTCATGTTCGTTACGTCTCGAAAATTGGTTAAAAGTAGCTGACATCACGTACGAAATATGTTCATTGTTCTGCTTATTGTGTCTTTTTTTCCTTTTGGTGCGCATTTTTGTGTGTACTTTTTATCTTAAAGGAAGTTGGGGCTTGGAATTGTTGTGTAGGAAATGTAGTGCTTCTCCCCTATTATAATTGTTTTGATATCATGATTGGGGTTTCTTTTTGGAAAGGTTTGTTTGGTGGAAGTTTTTGAGTTGTTTTTGTGATTTATGGAATCTAGGAAGATTTTATCAGTATTGTGATTTTTTTGTCTGCAGAAATTGTGAAGAAAACAATTTTATTATTTTTAAGTAAAGCTTTGATTTTTCAACCTAAGCGTTGGTAAATCTAAGCGTCATTCAAGCTGAGCATCATTCAAGCTGAGCATCATTCAAGCTGAGCGTATTTCAAGCTGAGCGTCAGTCAACCTAAGAGTCAATCAAGCTGAGCGTCATTGAAAATAAATATGAGTCAGGCTGAGCGTTTCACAAGTTAAGCGTCAATAAAATGATCTGAACTAGAACATCAGTGAAGCTGAGAGTCAGTCGAGCTGAGTCAAGCTGAGCATCAGTCGAGCTAAGTCAAACTGAGCGTCAGTCGAGCGTATTGTCAGTTAAGCTGATCATTAGTCGAGCTGAGCGTCAGTCAAGCTAAGCATCAGTCAAGCTAAGCGTCCATAAAACTTAAAATCAGTTAAACTAAGCGTCTACAAAATTTAAGCACTACAACAATTCATATATCACCTCAATCATTGTCTTATTTAGACTTCTCAGACATATAAAATTAAGCAGGAATTAATATTCGGTATCAATAATCGTAAATAAATGCCGACCTTGCTGTAAAAACGTTTCTGTTATTGCGTCACTTCAGTCAATCTTCGTTTTTAATTGTTTTCATTTCAGCCCAACAAACAAGCATAATGAAACATTTTAACACTTTTAATTTCATTTGACATAGAAATATTTTTGCTAATTAAAAATCTTCTGAATGTTTATTGGAATTTAAAGATATTTTTAAGAATCTCCAAAAAGTCTTCAAGCTTGACATTTCACGTTTCTTTCTGTGGCATGAGAAAAAATTATCATAACAATATTAATAATAATTTAATTCCTATTCAGTTGGAACTCCTCTTACTAATTCTATTTTATTTATGGTCGTCAGTCTCTTTTTTTGTGATGCTGCTCGATGTCACTTTTTTATTCAAATCTGCATAAATCTCTTTCTTGACGTGATCATCCTTTTTGATTTGTTTATTGGAGGCTGAACGTTTTGGATGGAGAAGAAGAAGAAGATTTAGTCTCAGTTGAGAGAGAATTGAGAATTCAATTGTGATGAAATTAGACAAGTTGAGAAATTTTAGATTAAGGGGAATAAAGCGCATTATTGTTGTTAATGCTGAGCATAATCTTTCTTTGAGCTGAGCGTTGTCTTTTCTAAAGCTGTGCATTGTTTCTTCTAAAGCTGAGTGTTGTTTCTTCTAGAGCTGAGCATTGTTGCTTCTAAAGCTGAGCGTTTTTTTTCCAAAGCTGAGCGTTGTTTCATCTAAAGCTAAGCGTTATTTCTTCTTAAGCTGAGCTTTGTTTCTTCTAAAGCTGAGCGTTGTTTCTTCTAAAGCCGAGCGTTGTTTTTTTCTAAAGCTGAGCATTGTTTCTTCTAAAGCTGAGCGTTCTTTCTTTTAAAGCTGAGCGTTGTTTCTTCTAAAGCTAAGGGTTGTTTCTTCTAAAGCTGAGCATTTTTACTTCTAAAGCTAAGCGTTGTTTCTCCTTAAGCTGAGTATTGTTACATTTAAAGCTGAGCGTTGTTTCTCCTAAAGCTGAGCATTGTTTTCATTCTTAAGCTATTATTTATTCTAAAGCTGATCGTCTTTTCAAAAACAGAATGCCATTTCGCAATATTTGAGCCAGCCAGACAGACTTACTGTAAACAAACCTCTTGAAAGTTCAAAAGTAACCCAAAAATAAACTTCAATTGAGGAATAAAGTCAATAGCGGAGAAAAGATGTAAATAAACTCGATAATCATGAGTAAGGTGTCACCCGAACCATTCCCATTTAATCAAAAGCCCATTTAAATGATTGTTAAATCATTTTCATAGTTGAAGAAGATGAACAAATGATGAGATTATAGCTTGAAATATTGAAATTTGAAAAAAATGTGTATAATTTTTATCTTCAACGTGTGTCGAGGCCACCCAAAGATGGTCAATGCGATGGACAGATTTCTTCTTATTATTATTCAAAAAAAAATCTTTTATTTATTTTTACATATTTTTTTCTGTAAAAAGAGGAAAGAAAAAAAAAGCAAAAAAAATTGTTTCGATGAGCGTCTTCGATTTATTTTTATGTCAATGGAAATAAGAGGATAAAAGAAGAAGAAATCGTGGACGAGGAAAGAAAGAAATGCTCAAAATTTTTGAGAGACATTGAAATATTTTTCTCTGTTAATTGTTATTTTGAGTTTAAAATTGTTAAACATTTTTGACTGTCACAAATATATTTTTCGATAATGTTGTCAGGTTTCGTGTAAGCTAAGTATTACTAAGGCTGAGCGTCTCAAATGCTGAGAGTCTTTAAAGCTGGTCATCTCTGAAGCTGAGCGTCCACAGATTTGAGCGCTTCTAAAACTGAGCGTCTCTAAAGTTGAGCGTCTCTAAAGTTGAGCGTCTCTAAAGCTGAGCGTCTCTAAAGCTGAACGTCTCTAAAGCTGAGCGTATCTAAAATTGAGCGTCTCTAAAGCTGAGCGTATTTAAAATTGAGCATCTTTAGAGCTGAGCGTATTTAGGGCTGAGCGTCTTTAGAGCTGAGCTTTTTTAGAGCTGAACGTCTTTAGAGCTGAGCGTCTTTAGAGCTGAGCGTCTCTAAAGCTAAGAGATACTAAAAAAATGCGTTCCGTATCAAATTCAATTCAACTTTTCGAAAAACCGAACGTAAATTAAGATCGAATATAAAAAATTATTATCTTGTTAATTTTATTTTCAAAATTTTTCTCTTCTCCAGGACATTAAACTAAAAAAACGAGGTGAAATTTGAGTCGAAAAATTACCAAAAAAAAACAACGTGTGGATAAAAAATTAGAAACAACAAATTTTATTCCAAATCACAACGAGAATAAAATTTTATGACCGCAAACAAGACTTAAAAAATAATTTTTATTGCAAAAGAAATTTTTGTAGCTTCATGGGCGATCGGAAATTGACATATTTTATGATACCTGTTTTGTATAAATTTGATAATGAATAAATATGAAGATGCGTTGAAACAGAAGCGGAATTGTTGCTGTTTTTATGACTT